ATTCTTGAAATTTTTTTTATTAAATCTGATCAAAGGGTCGGGAGTGAAATTTTCCCAACATAAAATGGACAAGAAGTGCGAGGATGTGACAGAATAAAATAATTAAATACCATCACTCGAAAAAACAATTAAATATCAAGTTTGGCCAACTGGTTGATTATGATTGCCCCCGAAATCTGTGGGCAGGGGACTATACCGATTAGGAAAGTTACTTTATATAAGTGAATGATTTAAGCTTGATGGATGTTGAAACTTGCCAAGTTATATTGTATTTATATTTGGAGGGACAATGTCTCTGTGTGTGTGTGTGTATAACAAAAAGGAGTTAATTAATGGAATATAATAACGTGATTAATTAAAAAAGTGATGGGGGAGAAGAAGAGTGTATTTGAGCCATGAAAATGGGCATATTCGAAGCACCTTCGGTGTGAAGCTTGTGGTGTCACGTTGTATAATTTTGGAATATCAAATGGGACAGTTGTTGTTTGTTTATTGATTAGTAATGCAATGTAATGCTGATTAAATAATACTTTTCTGATCTCATAGATAAGTTATTTTTAACATATTTTATTAATTTTAAAGAAAACTTTAAAGTTCATTAACTCTATTTTATAATTAATAAGTTCTCAATTTTACCCTATTAAATATATACATTTTAATAATATATTTTCTCTCTCCAACATTTAATAAAGGGTAAATAAATTTATAATAAAAATTTAATGACGTGACTTATAAATAGGATTAAAAAAATTTCTCTCTCTACCTTATAAATAAAATTAAAAAAAATAATTAATTATATAATCAGGTCCATGAGCAGAGTGGACCCCATTGACCACCTACACGGCCACGAAGTGCTTGTTCCATCATATGCCATATATGGTGGATGTTTGGATGGCACTTCCTTTGTTACATTAGTATGTCTTAATTCCTTTCCTTTCTTTTTTTTAATTTTGTGGTTGATATTAAAGTTCTTAATATAGGGCTGTCAAAAAAAGATAAGATTAATTTAATTACGTTGATCAGACTGAAAAAAAAATTAATTGCGTTAAAAACTGAGAAGCATAGAAATGAGATGAAATATGTGTCCTTGGTTTCAGAAGCCCTAGGCCAAGCGTCTAGTCCCAAAAGTGTAAAACATCGATCGAATGCCTATATAATCACTTGTTTATAGATGATTATTTTCTAAAAATATAGGCTTTATATTTAGCGAACAAAACTAGAAATATTAACTAATATCTCTGTGTTAAAAAACATCAATGCTGAAAATTTGCACGTATGTGTATATATAAATTTTATATGTTTAATAATATGCTTTTCAATTTATATAATATTCTGAGTTCATGATAAACTCTATTTTTTAATTTAATATTTAATTATCCTTTATAATAAGAATAAAAACCTCAAAATCTAAGTGCAAATGATATAAAAATAAAGACTATACGATTTAGGCCGTAGCCATATAATTTTTCCTTTGACTTTGTCCCTGGAAAAGCAAATTTCTCCATGGATTAACTTATCTATCAAGTACTCCCTTTGGCCTCCGTTTAGTATTGTAAAACAACGTTTTTTTTTAAGTATCATGTTTAAAAATATAAAATATTTTGTGTCTGTGTAATTAATATAATTAAAAAAAAACTAATACAATTTTTTTAAATACTCTTAATTATTGATGTAGTTAATAATGTTTCTAGATAAGATACCATATTAAATAAGAATAAAAATAAAAATAATGTATAATTTTAAATGTTATTAACTAACTTATTGAAATATATAAATTAATTAAATATATCTTATAATACTGAATACGAAGAGTAGATTCTAACAGTTTGGATAGTAGAGCTATTAACCATCCACCTTAGTATGCAAGATTTTTTGTTTTTTAATTCGACCTAATCTTTTTTTATTTTCTCTTTGCCGAAAGCGATTTTTTTTTTTTTAAGGTTTAGATATGAACAGGGCCCTGGCCCAACTTTCTATAGTGTATCTACTTCCCAAATTGCCTTCAGCTAGTGTACCACAACAATTTTGCCTGTATGCCAGAAAACTTTGGCGCCAATTACTACAACTTAGGTATCACTCACAGTTCTTTTCTACTTCCTTGATTGATTGGTTTGCTTGGAATCTCAAGCAAACTATTAACTTTGATTAAAATTTTGATTGGAGTTTGATTTGGGGGGTATCTATATGAAAACTTTGGATTTGGAAAAATAACTTTTGTTTTAATCCAAACATGTCAAAACCAATTGACTTTGCCTTGGTCATTAAATATACTTGGAAATATTTTTCCATGCCTGAAGAGTTGAGCAATGATGGTGAGAATTCTGATAGAATGAATGTGGGAACATGGAAAGGTCCTCCTACATAATGGGTCAAGGTTAATGTAGATGGTGTCAAGTCATTTGTTAATAACATAACAGGCTACGGTAGAATGTTGAAGGATCATTCAGGATGTTGGGTTGCCGGATTCACATATTTCCTTAGCAATTGTTCTATAACAGAGGTTGAGGAGTGGGCTATTCTTAAAGGATTGAGGTTAGCTTGGGACATGGGGTTTAAGAAAGTCATTGTTGTGTCTAATGCGAAACTGATTGTGGACAACATTAATGCTGCTAATTTGAACAGCAATGGTTGCCTACTTCATCTGCAAATTCTAACACTGTTGAATCTTGATTGGAAAGTGCAGCTATCATACGTACCAAGGGAGATAAACTGTGTTGCTAATATCTTAGCTAAAGAAGGTTTTTGGTCTACTACTTTGTTAAATATAGTCCCACCTTATTTAAGGGACCTTGTGAACTGTGAGATGTTGGGGTCACAATCTCCTTTTCTTTAATTTAATCTGACAGGCCTTGCCCCCTATTATGTTCGAGAAAAAAAACAATTTTTCCTGTAGCTACATTAGGAGTAACTTATCGCATAAGAAGATATTGATATAAGTTGATCCAATTTATAAAAACTTAATTCATAATTTACAAGATCATAAAATAAAATCCTATTATTAGTGTGAAGATCTTGTTGATAAATAATATATAAATATTTTTTAAGCATTGTTTGAGTTTGAAAACGTACTCTAATGTGTAAAAAAAAAAAATCCCTAATACAAAATATGGAGTAATCATCCTTTGTAGTGATACATCAAGGTATGAGCAGAATGCAACCAATGTGTCTCCTATGTTTGTTCCCTTGTTTTCTAATAAAAGTATAATTTCTCACACCTCGCATGATTGTAAATTATGATTTTCTGACTCTGCACCGTCTAGTCATCTCTCCCCCCCCCGGGCCAAAAAAAAAAAAAGTAGATTCCTTTCATATAATTTACATCACATTATTTAGAAGCTATCAACAATACAAATTAACAACTCTGCTGGTGTGGTTGCATATATTTATTATTTCATTGGTAATGCTTAATCCGTGTTTTCAAGCTCACGCACAAGTCAGTTTTTTTCCCCTGTTCTGAAATAATATGGTTGACTTTTTTTAAGGCGATTCTGATGCCTGGCGAAGTCAACATGCACCAAGGTGAGAGATCTCATAGTTTGGCACACGAGAAAAGTAACAGCGTGTGATTTCAGTATGATTTTCCAACAAATACAATTTGTTTTCGTAATTGAAAGGAAATAAAGTTATGATGCACTTTCGAATCTCTATAAAATGTAAAAAATGGTCATGCCAAGTCATCTCGTGGTTTTTGGGAGACTGAGAGTGGTGGTTTAGCTCTTTTGCTTTTAATTATATATCAGTACTTATTTTAATGTGGGCTTCAAATTTCATATGTCACCTGTAATGTGGGCCTCGTACTTGTATCCCTTGAACAGAACTTAATTGGGTTTAAATTTAAAGGTTCAGAGAAATAGTGTTTTTAGTTGAGGGTAGCGGAAGAAATTCATCTCTCACAATATAATAAATTAATATTTGAATCTTTCATAAAAGATGTGATTACATTTAATGTTCAATTATGATTGTCTCTAATAAAAGAATACTTATTAAAAAAATAGTATTCCTTAAGTGATATTTTATGCTTCCTTTGTCTCTAAATCCAAGTCTTAATATTAAAAACACATAGATGAAGTATCGAAATTTATGTATTGTGTAAAATTTAATTTTTTTTCACTAATCTTTATCTTTATTCAATGTGCTAACATTTTAAATCTCAAATACCTAAAAACAAGTATTAACAATTACCTTGAGAAGAGATCTTTCTGGAAACAAGTAGCATTAATTATACTTGAAATTTTGTATTTTTTTTTCCTACCAGAACATGAAAATTTGTATCAGGATTTATATTTAGAGACAAAAAGAACGTGAAAATTAGGACTTGTACTTAGGAACAAATGAAGTATTATTTCAAATTTGAATTATCTGCAGCAGCCACGCCATGTTAATTTTCAAACATTCACCATATTCAATAGCAAATCCTTTCATACAACTTGAAATAGAGCAGCTCCTTGTGCCAACTTAAACCCGAACATGCCATTAATTTTGTCATGTATATTTAGATGATTGCTCCAAAAGCCCCAAGACCAAGTTATCTTTCAATAACTTCTGATATATATTTTTAATGAACTTGAGTTTTGATTAGTAAGAAAATGAAAAGCCCATTTATACTTATTTCTCTTATTTTGTAATTCCATGATGGATTCTTCCTAGTGATGCATTACATTTTTAGCAGTTTTGTACTTCTTTGATAGATTTTATTGAATATCAAGTACTTGACTTGGAGTGACTCCACTTGTATTAGTAGGATTAATGGGTTATGAAAGCTTGTTCAAATATGTTATCCAGATTTAACTAAAAGAAAAGAAGAAAAACAAATTTTATTATATAAATGAGATACACACCCACTTTTATTTTTTATTACTCAAATATATTTTCTTTTCACAACTCATCTTTGTCTCGTTAAAGTCTTTCAATAACATGTTTCGATCTTCTTTTAAGGTAATTATATTTAAGATATGATTGAATATTAAATGTCAACATCTAATTAGGATACCTTGGTCCACTTCTTGTCACAATTAAAATATCCAAACATACACACACACAATCACATGAGCCACTGAATCAAATGATATGCTGTTTAACAAGCAGCATCACGCGGGGCCATAAAATAAAAAAACAAAAGGGGCAAGAACAGGGGAGTTACATTCACATTGTTAAAGGATATACAAGTATGTGAGCCCTCCAACTACGTTTCCCCTGTTAAACATATTTGTCAGATAAATAAGAGTGTAAAAATAAAACTGTTTTCATTGAAAGGCCCCAGAAAGCAATAAATCAATTCTAGGGAGAGAGGGGGGAAATGTAAAACTTCAGCAATTCCTGGAGGCAGTGTGGAGGTCAACTCATCAACTTCAGAGCAAATTTGAAGAGACACACAAAACCTGTGTCCAGTAAATCACGCTTTAATTTCAGAAGATCCAAGTTCAAGGTATGGTTACTGTACTTCTTGAGTGGATTTTTCCCATGGAAGGATCCCAGATTGATGATCAGCAAAATGAGAGAGAACAAAGTCCTTCAGACCAGTGTCCCAGACCTCACAAAACCTGAATCTCCAATTAGGTGGTTCTACGGCCTGTGTTCCTAGTCCAGGTGCTCTGTCCTTGGACCTCTTGTTCTTGTCCTCGTGCCAATCCACCACATACGTCGCCACTCTCCTCAAAAACTTATCTTTGAATCTCTCCCAAACTTGATACTTGTAATGGTTTATTACTCCCTCTCCTTCCTTCACCTGCACCGACCATATTCCTTCCTGCAGCTGAAAATGGTGAACCACGTTCAATAGACTCGTGTCCAGCATTTCTGGTTTAACAATGGATTTGTGCCTCTCTGAGTTCTTCATTCGACACGTGTATTCTGTAGTCACTCCTCGTTTAGGAAGCGATGTTAATTCAGAAGGTCCGAAGTTATGACATGCTGTTCTTATCTCTGCGAGTTCCGACGACGACGAGAAGTTGGAGATCAGTGATTTGAGTGCGTTCTGGTGGCCTCTGTTTTTGAGGAAGAAGAACTCGTCAACGTCGAAGAAGCCGACCCAGTTGCATTCTTGCTTTGATCTTAACGCGCAGTGGGAAAAGCCGGCTTCCTGGGTCTTAATCCATGGCCAGATCATCCTGCTAACGTTATAGCCTTCGAGGTTGAGATCGTCGATTACGTTTTCGATGTCGTCGTCGCTGTTATTGTCGTAGATGAACCATCGTTCTACTCCCAGCCATGAATGATACATGATCCACTCCTTCAGAGCAGAGGCTTGGTTCCACACCATAGTACAGACACACAGCTCGTGCTTCTTCTTCTTCGTCATCGTTGTCGTCTTCATCACTCCGTTCTCAATTGTGGCCACTGATGGCATGAGATTTTTGATCGGACGTCTTCGGTTTTGAAGAGAGCGGCTCACGGTGACCCGAAAGCCCTGAGCTTTATTCGCGTTGTACGCGATGCTCCGTGGTAACGAACACCGGATCACTTCTTGTGCGGCGGAGATCGCTTTCGTTTTGAAGATGAATCCGCCGGGTTTGTCCAGATTCTTGAACCCGAAATGGCATCGGAATTGGGTCGGGTCGGATATCTGGTGGGGTCGGAGATTGAGTCCCTTAACGAAAACAACGACGGTGTCTCCATCTAAATACGCCTCGTAAGCTAAATTATTCCAAGAATGAGTCGTCAGTTTCGTCGGCAACTCCCAACTTCGGTGCTTATCACCAAACTCGCCGCCGCGCCGTCGCAAATAAACGGCGGCGGCCGAATAGTTGGTCGGAGGAATCGGGCACCGGACGATAAACTTTAACTCGGTGTACCGCTCCGTCGAAATTACTGGTTGAGAAAGAACACCGAGAACAGGGTTGTTATCTTGCTCGGAAAGATTCCCGAGCTTGTGGTAAACACACTCGAGTTCGCTGCTCCGGGGAATTTCGCCGCCGGTAGCGACGAGAAGTAGGTGATCGGGGAAGAGTATGCGGTGTTGGAGCGTGAAGGGAAGGCGGAGAAAAGTTTGGTTGAAAGTCAAAGAATGAACAATGGAGTGACTTGCGGAGTTATAAAGAAGGGAGAAGGAGGAAGAAGAGAGGGAGGGACGAAAGCGAAAGGAGAAGCGATGATCGGAGGATATGGAGAAGAAGAAGAGGAAGAAGAAGAAGAAGAAGCAGAGAAAAAGTGATCTTGTAGATAAAATATAAAAATTACTCCACAATGACCTCACCATACGCTTCCTCTTCCGGCGTGCCTCCAACGCCTCCATTTTTTCTTTACCGAGTTTTCTGCAAGTTGTAGAAGAAGAGAAGAAGGTGATGGGGTTGGGGGAAAACTCAAAAAAAGGATTAAATAAGGAAATTAAAAGGTTAAGTGAAGAAGGAAGAAGGAAATTGAGATTCTGTGGAATGAGTGGAAGTGAAAGGGATTATGGTTGAGCCGTCAAAAGTGACATAAATTGGCATACGGATTCCCAACGACGGGCTCATTCTTCATTTCTTTTCGTCGTCGCATACACGCGACACTTTCTTCTCCTTCTATTTTGTACTATTTAGTGTTTACTGCAAACAGATAATTAAACGAAAAAAACAAAAACAAAACAACAACAACAAAACCATAATATATTATGCAGAAAAAGGAAAGGAAGCACAATCATGCAAAGATTTTGTGTGTGATGGATGATAAATCGTGGAGGACTTCCTGGTTTTTCCCATTCTAGTGTGGAATGAAATTGTAAACATATTAAATAAATTAAATCTATAAAACTTTTTTAAATTTTAATGCAATAGCATATAATTTCTTCACTTTTAAAAGTTTAAAATTAATCTCTTTAATATTTTTTTAATCATATGCTGGTATTTTTTAATTATCTTATTAATAAAAGTTATCATATCATATTAAAAAAAATACATATAGAAGTCTTATGTGTAATCTAATGAAAGTTAATAATAATTTTATAAAAATTTTATCCACATGTAGAAAAAAAAAGATAAAAAATTGAGGTATTAATTTTAAACTTTTAAAGATGAATGGTGTCTTGTGTAACTGTTTTAAAATTTAGAAATATTTTGTATATGTTAGCATCTTAAATATGAAATTGTTTTTGGAATAACTTGTGTGAATAGAATGATAATAATTAATCCTATCAACAAGAATTATTTCAAAAAATTATTTTACTTGTACACGATGTGGATTGTGGATAACATTTGAGAAGCATTTGAATTGATAATTTGTTGACAGTATTTTATAAAGCTAGAAAAAGGGGGGGGTTTCTTTCTTAATAGTATGAAATGCGATGAGTCATTTTTCACAACCTGTAAATTTTGACACCAATTTCTTTTTGGGCTGAATTTAGGACACCGCACCATTATGTATGAGTAAACAATTAGATTTGAGAGTAAATTAATAATTTTAATTTTTTTTAAACATAAATATCAATTAATAAAAAACATTTTAGATTTTTTAATTAAAGATTAAATTAAATAATAAGTTCTGAAAATAACTTATATTACAATCTTTTTTTTAAAATCAAATTAGCAAACCATCTATCTATTATCTGATCATTAGGGAATTGATCTGTATCGCTTTCGACAGCAATTGTGTATCTTATGGATCACTTTTAAGAGAACTACTTTCTTTTTCTTTTATTAAAAATGACGACAGATAACAAAATGTCATGAATTTTTGTCGTAACTTTTTATTTGATTGTTTTTCTGCTGAAACTATTTTTTCCTAAAGGATATGACATGAAACAGAATATACTCTCTTCATGTAAAAATATAAAATATTTTTTTAAGGATTTAATATTAAAAAATATAAAATATTTATAATTTGTTAAGACATATTTATTATTTTTTTAAAAGTTTTTCTATTAAATGAATTACTTATATTTATTTTAAGGTGTTTATAAAAATAAATATAAAAAAATAGAGTTAGTTTAAAAATAAATAACTATTTTATTAAAGGTGAGATTCAGTTAAAAATACCTTACAGAAAGTAATACATACGAGTAAGTGTGTATTGACTAACAATTACATGATTTGTCATATAGTATAGTATCCACTCTACACTCCTCCATCTCTCAAATCATTTAGCTAAATAATTATGCAATACTACAAATGCCGTTTGGGCATAATATTAATATCGATAAGCATGCTTTAACAACTCCCACTACTATTATTGTGATTTATGGCTAATAACTAGCGTGTAAGATGCAAACTTTACATATAAAAAATGAACACTATTTATAATTTATAAACAATATATATATATATATATATATATATTTGCTAATAAGAGTTCGGTTCTGGACATGGAAGGGATCATGATAACTCGAGCATAAAATTTCCAGTTCTCCATCCAATTGAGTTAGACAATACTTGAAAAACTATATGAAAATATTTTTTAGAATTTTTAAATTAAATTATATGTAATTATACAAAATGATGTAAACTACCCAGACAAAGAATAACATGTTGCTAATAAAACCAAGTTCACAACATAATATAAATTACGCAAAAACCGGATAAGCCCTCGCAAAAAATTTATAATTAATTTGACAGTCCGAGCACCATATGACGCAAGCAAATCCAAATTCTTCCTCCCCAATCATTCAAGTCTGACTTGGGGCATCGTATATGGTCTGTTTCGCTTGTTCAAACTTGGCTTCAAAACTTTGAAAAAAAAATTTTTTTAATGACTTCTTTTAATAATTTTTTTAATGACTTTATCCAATGGTTTTGTACCGACTTTGATATATATATATATATATATATATCTCCAAGGGCTCTGTAGACACCTTGATCTACACTTGCGCATGTAGAAATAAAGTGTGAGACATATATGTAATTGACACATCTATTGAATTTCAATATCACGAAATAATTTATATTACTTATAAAATTTTCATTTGGTTTCATAATTCAAAAAAAAATAAAATATATTTATATACCTATACATAATAAAAAAATGTTAATAAAATGTATTGTTCATAAATCATGTGAGTTATTTTTTGTACTCTATATAAAATAATAGATTTCACGCTCATTCAAATATTCAATCTCAAAGTTTGCAATAATATTCAACTGTGTTTTGTGACTCTTTCCCCTGGCCTGAGGCAAAGGAATTTGTATTCTAATATTTTTAATAAGTAATTGTCCTTTAAAAAAAGTCAATCATAAAATTTAATGACATGTTAACTTAGGAAAACACAGAACTATTGGCCCCAAAAGGTCAATAGTGATGATGGCATCGGTCAAATACTTCAGGAGAGAAGGATGAACGGGTGAAATTATAAGAAATTTGATATCTTTCAAGTACTATTTTAGTATTTAGAGTTTTTTTTTAATGAATAAGTAATATTTGAATTTGAACTTCGTAAATAAAAAACAATGTTAGAAGAGCTTTTCTATGGACAGAATCCACCCCATCTCAAATTCAAATTAAAGAAGTGAATAAATACGTATATTGGCTTGCACACTAATCTTTACATGATAATTTAGAGATCAGGATTTTTAATTTTTTGCCTAATAGGTGCAGGAATTTTTTATACTCTAATATGACTTGATTTATCATTTTTTTGTATGGATATTTTTGTGGCCTTTTATTCAAAAAACTTCAAATTGGTTAATGATTCGAAAAAGTGATACAATGAATGTAACTATCCATTACACAGGTTTCACGTATGATTACAATCTCCCCCCCCCCTTATATATCTTTTTAAATATATTCTTTATATTGATTTTTCTCGTGAATGTATAGATATAGAGAATTCAACAAAATTAAAAAGCTTGTGTATAAAAGCTTAAGAAATTGTTAGTTTGTTACACATGATATTTGCAATAGACCTATAACTTCAAAATCCAATTTAGCAAGGGATGAACGTCTCGCCGGATGAGATATATTCCCCGCAAAATGCACAGCAATGAAAAGGCTTGCTAAAGTAAGGGATTACTGATGATGTCTTAGTCATGTCGATATTTAATTAAATTAATATTAATTTAATATAATATACGTCAAATTTAGGTTATTCTTTTCAAGGAATAATTTGAGGATTATCTTAAATTAGTTCGATGTATTTAATTACTAAAGCCTAAATGTTCTAAAACTAAATGCTACACTTCTAAACTCAAAATGTAAATAAGAAAATACAATTTATGTAACTAACATTACCCAAGTGGATGCTAATGTTTATGTCTAACAACTAAATGCTATTGTGCAATGCATGAGTCCTAAATTATGATTAAGGAGTTTTGTTTATCAAGAATTAAAGTGCTTACTAAAGAAATTAATTAAGAGACTAAATAAGTTAATTAACAAACAAGACATTAAGAAAAGTTTGATTTAATTCTAGTAAAGGGGACAACTTATTGACTTCACATGGAATTAACTTTTTTAGCCTAATTCAATAAGTTAGACTAAAGGAAAATGATAGAAGAGTGAGATTATTAAATTTAATTACCTAATTAAATTAAAGGGAACCTTTAAGCACAAAGTCTAATACTTAATCTATAGAGAATTCATAATGAACCAAATGCTATAAATATAAATTAGACCAATTAAATCAATTTAAACCAATGATTTTTAACTCAAAATAAATCTAAAAAAATATGTTTAAATTATTTAATTGAACAACTAAAAAAATTACAAACTCAAGTGAACAATCAAAAAGTAAAAGAAATAATTCAAATTTGCAACAAACACGCCACCATAACAATCAAATTAATAATGAGAACTCAATTAAATTCAATAACCTATTTAAACTAAAGGAAACTCTTAAGCACAAAGTGTAACAAATTCAATTACCTAATTAAAGTAAAGGAAATCCTTAACCCACTAAAAAACTCATAGTGAACCAAATGCTACAATTATAATTTAGACCAATTAAATCAATTTAAATGATTGGATTTTAATTCAAAATAAAGCTAAAAAATATGTTTAAACGATCTAATTAAATAATTAGACAAATTATTAACTCAAGTGAGTAATCAAAAGGTAAAAGGAACAATCCAAATTTGCAACAAACATGCCACCATGACAATTGAATCAACAATGAAAACTCAATAATTAATTTAATTAGTAAAGCAAAGGTATAAACATAAATTCCAACAACTCATTCAACACAAATTCAATCAAATATCAATCCAATCCAAGATTTAAAATATTTACAATTTAGAACTAGATTGTACTCAAGTGTTACAACTTAAAATCACTTAAAACTAAATAATTCTAATCTCTTGAATTAAAAAGATAAATGAAAAATCACTCTTCTATGGTCTTCAAGTATGAAGCCTAGCGTTATGTTCCATATCAGAGGGATTTGGGGAAAGTCTTGGCTATATAAGAGAATGTGTTGCACACCCATTAAGTTAGTTTTTAAAGAGAGAGTAATGGCCTTTTGACAAAGTAGTATAAGAGTTAGACCTAATTTTGCCTAATCAATAAGCCTCTCTGGTAAGTCACCCATAACGGGGGCATCATAGATTGGTCAAAGGAGCTG